GGGGGCTCGCTTCTCCCCGCCGGCTTTGTGCGGGGGCGGCGCGGGAGCACCAGGAGGGAGAAAACCCACCCGCGGGCGCGGCAGGCGTGGGGCGCGCAGGGGAGGAGGCGGCACCGCGCTTTCCTGCGCCGGGCGGGACGTGCCGGTGTGTTCCCGGCGCTGCCTCCTCCCCTGCCCGGTTTGTCCGGGTTCTCTAAATAGCAGGGGTGGGAGAGGGACCCGGTCAGGCCAGGCGCTGTGGGGTGAGGATGCTGCTGCCGGCGCAGGGACTGAGTGAAGCCGCGGGCGCTGTGGGAAACGGTGCGGTGGGTGGCACTTACCGGTAGCCCAGAGAGGTGAGAATGAGACCTTGGCCTTTTCCCACGTGGACGGTTTGACCCCTTTCACCCGCTGAGACACCTTCTCGTCTCTCCTGCCTGTAGAGAGGGAAAGGCCAGGTGGTCGCTGCAGTTGGGTGTACAGGTCACTGGTCCAGCCACGTCCCACCACCTTTCTGTGCTGCACATGGAAAGCCTGAAGCCCCGAGTGGCTGCTGGGGCTCACACAAGAGCAGCCGGGACACAGATCGAAGCTGGAAACAGAAGCTCAAAGGAAGGCCCAGGGGTCTGATGGTGAATGAATGACCAGTTTCAGTGCAATTGAACTGAACTTCTGCATGAACCAGAATGATTGCGTTTCAGTGCTCTCCTTCCAACGTCAAAACTAGCCAGTTGTGTTCCTCATGGATCTGCATAGACTTCATCTAGCTACTTTCCAGTGTCCCCAAGCAGTAAACTTTCCTTGGCACACAACCTAGATAGCTCTGTATGCAGGTGACACTTTAAAATCAATTTCACTTGTTGCTTTTAGCGCTTGTGGTGCCTCTCGGCCTCTGCAGGGTGTTCATCTTTCCAGCTCAGGCCAGCAGGAGGGGAAGGATCTCTTCCTGCCACACACCTGCGAGGGAGCTCACCTGGGAAGCGCTTGGTGGTGGGTATGGGACCGGGTCCACACAAACCACATGCAAAGTGCTGACGACTTCCCCCTCCTGCGCTGCAGCTGCCACTTCGGGTTTGCATCACTCCCCCAGCACTGGCCACCAGGCCTTCAACCGCAGCCTTGCTGCAAGGGAACTACCATGAAAAAGTGCCTCTGGCCAGGCAGGAAGAAAGGTTTTGGGGTGTGAGGGCAGCAGGAGGCAGGCAGGGGAAATCTCTGTTGGCATCAATAACTTCCAGTCACAAGTTCTCCTCCCACGCTTGGGATCTGTTTTCAGTGTCTCCTGGTGTGTCCCTGGCACTACCTGGATACGAGACTACAGTTGCTAGGGTCTTTTAATGCTGTCTTCCTGTCAGAGAGCTTTTCTGCCTGGCCATGCGGCTTTTGGACTTACATTATTTTCAGAGGCTTTAAATACAGAGAGATATACATATACATATGCACATGCACATATATAATATCTAGATATAATGTATTGGCAGGTAGTGGCAGAGGGAGTAAAAACATTTAAATGTGATACGAGGCCAATCTTGCTGTTCTGACTTGCTTTTGAGGATTTTAAAACCAAAACTCTAATTCTGGGCCCTGTCCGGTCCCCTTTAAGATGTGCCACTTAAAATGGGTGAAAATTGCAGGGAAAAAATAAAGAGATAGGGATCTACTCCCACTAGAGGTCAGTGTCAACACACCCCACTTGAAGGCACCCGGCGCTACTCAAAATAACCACTCCAGCAAGAAACTCACCTCAGAAAGACTCTCCCACCACGCTGACCTTCCAGGAACATCACGGCAGAGCCTGGGCATGGGAAAGACTCCTAAGGAGACCTGTGACCCCCGCTACTGTCCCCAGTAATGTCCTGTCCCTGGGTGCAGCCCTCTGGTTTCCGAAGTGGAACCCAGCTCTCTGCACCCCGCTTCTTGAACCTGGGCCTGGCACCAGTGTCTTCTCCATGGCTCCTCGAGTTGTTAAATGGGTGAGATAAGTGAGATGAGGCCGAGAGCCATGAAGAAAGGGTGTTTATGGTCCGTCTGTGTCTGATCTGAGGAAATATAATGGTACTTCAATCGCCAGCTGTGGTTCTCTGCCATGTTTAAGCAACATAGGTTACCTGAAATTGTTTTAAGCAGTTATTGCCACAGTAATGCACACCAGGCAATGTGACTGACATTAGATTCCCCCCACGCAGACTGTCCCCGGCACAGTTTTGGTCCCACGCGAGCAACAAGATGTCCCATTCCCTGGGGATGCAGCTCTTTTTCCCCATCCCCAGCAGCAGGAGTCCTGAGCCCAGCAGAAAGGTGCCAGACCCATGCCTGAGGAAGGTCCCATCCCATTTTCCACCAGAGATGTCTCTGGATGCCCAAAGCAGCAACGCAGACCTCTGCCTGGGACTCTAGCTCCAGCTCAGGGAGCTCAGACCAGAAGCCACGTGTGCTGGGCCCTTGGCTGGGAGCAGAGGCCCCAGGAGAGCAAGGAAAGCCACAGGAAAGATGACAGGCTCTCTCCTCCAACTGCTGTTCCATATATCTGACAGCAAATCAGCTCTGTGGTGCACCAAACTGGGTCACTTCACTTTCTGGCCTAACAGAGTAAAGCAGGAACATGTCGTTCAAAGATTCAACGCCCAGAAACGAGACCGAGCTTTCTAACAGACCAGGGCAAAGCAGGTCCTCCTCAGGTACCGTTTTTTGAGGTAAAAAGCCCAGAAAACGCTGGCTGCCCTCTTGTGGTAAGTCTGGCTGAAATCACAAGGTCACTTTGAACCTCTCCAAGGATGCCACTCCGGGCACCTGCTTGCTTTTGCAGTAAGGGATTATTTTCAGTCGGAGTTTTCCTCCTTGCAGCCCGTGTTGGATGCCTCCTGTCCTTTCACTGTACACTCCCGTAACATTACGGGACCCACCACGCCAATATGGTGATGCAACACAGAGCAGATCGGGTTTGTCTACGTGTGGTAGGTGGTTGCCAAGTTGCTCTCGCTGGGAACCACAATTCTCATTGTTGCGCAGTGTCCCGTGGTGGACAGGGCAATTTCTACCTCCTTGTGTCGTTCACTGCTGTGTGTATGATGTGTAGGTGGTTGGACTAGGAGATCCATTCTTTTCAATGGGGATCACACCTAACTCACCTCACTCTCAGCCACGGCATATATTTCCAAAAGCAGAATGTTATTGATATAAAGGTGCACTAAACACCCTTTAGCTTACAAAGCTAAAGGACAAAACCCCCAGATATTTCAACAAAATTTAATCTTCCTCATGTAGCTCCCATCGGCTCAGTGGATGCAACGCTCTCTACTTGCATCTGGGCAAATGCATGGCTGATAAGACCTCGGTATGTATTTATTTATGTGTATGTGTGCATGTGCCTCTGTGTGTGCTCAGAGTTCTCCCAAAGGAGACGGCAGATGTGGTTATGAATGAGGAGGGGATGGCAGATGGTCTTGGAAAACTGATGCTAAAACCATGCATAACTAGATGGTGAAACTGTGCCCTAGGTGAGAAATCTTGTCACCTGGGGCTCCCGTTAGAGCTAGAGGAGAGACAGGCTTACTTCCAGAGGGTGGCTCTGGTAGCCCCTGTCTGGCCACACCACTTCAAGGAAGAGTGCTCCTCCCTTCCCAGGGAATGGCAGTGTGGAGTGAGGCAGTGCTGTCGCCGGGCTATCATTTATTCATGGCTCTCGAAGCACAATTTACCCGGCAGGGGCTATCCAAGACAGAACAAAACCCTCAACTCACCCAACCATCCCTCAGCTCACCTTGCCAGGGAGCACAGGATGGATGCTGCCAGTGCTGCCTCCTGTCCGTCAGCATCACCACTCTGGAACCGATGGCCATTAGAAAGGAGGATGGGTTAACTTCCATTTTTGAGTTGCTTCTGCTTGAGTTGCTTCCTGCTTCACCCCAGCCCCTCACAGTAGCCCTGCAGCCCCCCTGCTAGCCCAGTCCTTGCCTCCTAACAGTGCTCTGAGTGGCTTCTCTGCTGGTCCCTGGCACGCTGCGCAGTGCTGCCAGAGGTATTACTCATGCAAGCTCGTCTCTGCTCTCAGGAGAGTTAAACCTCCCAGCTGCCAGACTGAATTAGAGCTTGTGTCTCTCCACACTTGCATCAGAGTGATTTGGGAACAGGCCTGGTGGAGCCACACTCCTGTAAGCAAGTGAGGAGCCCAGGCAGGGGTTAGGAGAGAGGGGTGAGCAGGATGACTGGCTCAGGATGGTGGGGTGGGGAGGTGGGGGTGAGCAAGCTGGTTGCCTGTTGAAATATTCAGGTGCTGAGCTGGAGCACAGGGCATGCAGAGGGCAGGTGGTCATCCCCAGGGATGGAGAAGCCCAGGCACCATGAATAAATGATGAACAAGTCCCTGTTGCCCAGGTAACGGGTGCTCCCGGCACATTGAAGGTGGGATTGCAGCCATTCCCCAGGGTGGGGTCACAGCCATTCCCCAGGACGTTGGCCTCTCCACCAGCCCTGGCCCGTGCAATGGCCCCTAAGTAATGCAGACCGTTGTCAAGTGGGCTTCTAGCCCCTTCCCCGGAATGGCCTCTTCTCCCCAGCCTGCCCGGGTCTGTGGGGATGAGAGGATGATTCCCTAGACCAGGATGTGTCAGCTCCAACCACTCAGCACAGGGAAGGCAAATTGCAACAGAAACCTATTTTCTGCTTTTAGGGAGGTGGCTCCCCAGACTGTAACTGCAGATAGGCTAAAATTTTGTGAGGCATTTGTTTCCATGCCTTATTCTTTTCTGGGAGTGATGGGCCAAAAAGCTCAGGCAGAAGAAAACATTTGCCAGGGGGGGAATTGGCTGAGTTTCCAGGCACTTGAGTGGTCACCGCTGCTCCAGAGTTGCATCGGACAAGATGTCCTGAGGACTGTCAAACGGCATCTGGGCAGCTCTGA